TGGCCACACATGGGCATGGGGTGGGGAGACTGGGGGTGAGAGGGACTCCCCACGCGTGGTCCTGGTGTCTAGATTGCTGGGGTTCACTGGGACTTAGGGTCCGGGGGCTGAGGCCACTCTGACATTTCTGGGTTGGGTAAAGATGGAGGTGGCTCCCCTGTGTCTTTCTGGCCTTGGCTATAAGGACTGCTGGGTAGGTGTCCTCTCACCCCACCTGCTGTCAGCACCACACACACACACACACACACACACACACACACACACATTAACTGCCCCCTTCTCTTTACAGATTCTGGGCGCGGTGATACTGGGCTTCGGGGTGTGGATCCTGGCAGACAGAAGAAGCTTCATCTTTGTCCTGCGTAAGGAGCCCTCTGCTTCCGCTGACCCCGCCTGCTGTGGAGGGGAGGGTCAGGCAACAGGCAGTGCTTCAGCCTCAACGCTACTGGTCATTTTCCCAGCTGACCTCAGGGCCCTGCCCAGGCCCTGCTGCTGACCTCTGCAGGGGGTTCCGGGAGGAATTTTCTTTCCCTCCCCAAACAAAGCAGCTGTTGTCTAAATGGGGGATGGGGAGGCTTGTTCTCCCATCCTGGTCCCTTCCCTTAGCCCTGACCTTGAGGCAGCCTCTTATATCCTCTGCCCCTCCATGTTTCTCTTCAGTAAAATGTGAGCAACAGCCCCTCCCCTTCCCAGGTCAGAGAGAGGTAGGAAAGGGTCAGGAAGGTCAGATTGTCTGGTGTTGATGAAGTGCCTACTGTGTGCTTGGCACTGGCTAGGTGGTCAGACACTTGCACTGAGGAGGAAGCCACCAGGAACAGCTTCCACTGTTCACGCTCGTGGGGCTAAGCGTTTTGCGTGTATAAATTATCTTGATCCCACAAACAGCCCTGTGAGGTAGGCACTGCTCTATTCCTGCCTTAACAAATGAGGCTCAGAGAACTGATGTGTATTGCTCAAGTTCACACAGCTTCTGAGTGATAGGGGTGGGACTTGAACCCTATCAAGTCCCACAATTTAGGACCTAGCTTTGGTCCTAAATGCTGCACATGGTGAGGGAGCCACGACATGGAGGCCCCTTCTTTCTATTTAGAAGCAGGAGGAAAGACGCCCAAGGCACTCCTGCCCAGATGATAAGAGCCTTTCTGAGTCTACTCACAGTCTCCTGCAGGACGCCCGCTGGGCTGGCTGCACTGACCTCTTATGGACGGACGCCCTGTGGTGGGAGGCAGGCCTAGCCCATGGCCCCAAGTAGGACAGCTATGCCAGTCTCCTCAGCGAGTGCGTTGTCCTTGGCTCACTTCCCCTCCCAGCAGCTGCCGGAGGTAGCTGGTTTGGACTCAGGCCTATGACAGCTGCTTGATTTGAATAAAACGGAACCAGGGTAAGCTGGGTGATGGAGGGGCCACACCTGTCACTGTGGTCCCAGGGGGCTAGGCCTCTTCTCCTCAGAAGGAAAGCGAAACAAGGATGATCTACCCTGCAGCCACATCCGATGCGGCCTGGGGCTGTCAGTCTTGCCTCCTACTCGGGGGTAGCAGACTGCACCCCTCTTCTGGGGTTAGGGTCTGGGTTTCCGGCCTCAGCTGGGTCCCCATACTCCCCGGGCCCTCTCGACAAGGGGCACATCCTCCTTGGCCCTGACTAGGCCCAGGCCCCCCACTTCCTGGGCCATGGCCCACACCCAGTGGGCACTGCGCCACAGGGCAAAGTCTTGAGGCCCAGCCCGCCCACTGCATTTTTGCCCTCTGCACCCTGCCCCAGGGCTCCAGGGACTGCCTGCTGCTCCTCC